TATAAATATATAAACTATGTTACATGCGTTATATGCGTCTCTAATTATTTTTCCCTAGCAAATTTCAATTGAACCTAAAGCCGCCACGTCAGTTTAATTGATATGCTAATTGATTGACAACTAAGCAAAGTTACTTTTTAATTAATACAAACTTGAGGTTACATCTTTTCAAATGTTTCTCAATTAATATATAGGGGATATCAATCACATTATGAAATTGTATAAAAACGATAGAAGTTACCTGAGAGAAACTAAAGAAGGCCATCTATGTCAATGTTCGACTATTTTACGTATGCTAAACTTGCTTTTATTCTATAAACTAGATTATAATCCACGTAGTTGCGCAGAATTGTTTATAATTTATGTTTTCATATTAAAATTTATAATTAGTAATATTTTTATAAACTTTGATTTGCTTGAATTAAGATATATATATATATATATATATATATATATATATATATAAATCATTTAGTTATTTATGAACTTAGATTTGATTTGGGTTTAGTTTTTTTTTTTGTTTGATTCAAATAACAATGTTAGGAATCCGATAGAAAATTAGCATATTGACTTGTTATATAACTTTGATACATTTCGCTTTCCTAAAACATATTTAAAATATAAAAAGACATTCAATAACACAAAAAAAATTAGAAAAGATAATAACTACCTAATTCAGAAACAAAATAGAAAATTTCATATTCTATTAAGATCCATGCACTTGAATTGAACTTTAAATTTTATCGGATTCCTAATATTATTATTTAAACCAAACAAAAAAAAAATAACTAAATTCAAACCAAACTCAAGTTCATAAATAACCAAATGATTCATATATATCTTAACCAAATTAAAATAAAACTGAAACATATCGAAAACAAAAAGTAAAATATGGAAGCAAACCAAAGTTTATAAAATATCATTGATTCATAAAATCTTAAGTTGAAAACATAAATTGTATCAAAGTGCGGGATTATTTTTTTATAAAAATTTATCAATATGTATGTTTGTTCAGTAATATTTTTAGGCATGAACATTTTATTTTCGGTTTCCTTCCAGATTTAATTTTTTGGTTTTCGATTTAGTTTTGGTTTGTGAGTAGTTTTTCATTTACAGTTAAAAAAATATAGTAACCATTCGGTTATTTATGAATTTGAGCTTGGTTTGGGTTTAGTTATTTTGGTTTTAGCTTTGGATTAAATAATAATGTTAGAAACAAGAAGTTCTCAGGCTTAAGATCACGATGCATGACACCTAGAGAATGACAAGCTTCAATAACACCAACAATGGTTCTTGCAAACAACTCTCGGTGTAGTGACCTCTGGACATTATAGTTTGGACTTCTTTTGCCGTTTAAGTTTGGTTCGACAAAAAAAAAGAAAAAAGATGTTTGGTTCGTTTTCTTTAAAAAAGCTTTTCTTATTTACAACATTGTAAGAAAATTGGTACAAATGGCTTATATCAAAGTTCAAAAAACTCCACATCATAAAAAATCAAACACAACTTGATTTATCAAAGGAAAATATAACTTTTAATTAGTACTGATTCTTCTGTAAGTTGAATCTCTCATATGTCTGGGAACAATAAATTTTTAGCTCTTTTTTTGGGCATCACCATTTTTTATAATTAACTTAAAAGAAGTTATGATTATTGAGGAAGTAAACAACTAGTAACCGATCATTTGCATCGTCTGCTCGTTCCAAAACATCTTCGACTGCTTCACCATCTCAGACCGTTCCCCCATCATCCTCTCCTTCCAATACTCTTTGCTTCTACAAAAAAAAAAATATTATATTCAATCGTAATTATCACAATTAATCAATACTTAGCTTATATACTTTTAAAAACTAACTAATGTTGTCATTTCTTTGGGTGCCATCTAAAATAGAGATCTGTCTCACCGTATCTTTAACAGAAGTTGAAGCTCGATCATGTGGACCGCTTCCTCATATACTCCAACCTGCATAGCACATGTAACAACCAACTTCTCAGTATAGACAATGGAAGCAAGAAAATTTGAGAGAAAAAAATGTTTAATGTTGCAAGAGCAAAAATAAACCTCTCTGCATATGGGACATTTGGAACATTGTGATGCTGCCTTAACGCCTTGGAAAATCATTACAGAAGCAAATGAACATGCACACGCTTTACAAAATATGTGACCGCACTTTAAAGCGTAGGGATTGAATACCGTTTCCTGCCCAATCAATACACAAATATATATTAATGATTCTGATTACACTACACAAAAAAAAATAAAAAATAAAAAAAAATATATATATATATAGTAACTATTTCGTAGGTTTTCGTGGCTAAATAGCTACAAACAATACCTTGTAGTGTCAATGTGAGAAAATGATTCAAACATGTAAAACTATAATTGTTTATGAAAAGAGGCAGGGATTTCTTTATTACCAGACAGATTGCGCAAGTTAGATCGAACTCGAGCTCTATTGAGTTAGGCAGCATGAGTTTCATCACTGGTTGATCTTCGTTGAGATTTCCACATGAGACGCGGCCAAACGAGTTCTTGAAGTTTCCAACTTTGTCAAGCCCAGAGTTGAGATAAAAGGCTCCAAGTTCTATAAGCCAAGGTGAGTGCAAGAGCTCTATGCGCTCTGCTCGCATTTTCAACTTGAAATTCTTCCCATTCTCTGAGCCATGCACCTGAAAACATTATAAAACCAGTTTAACGATCTTGACTGTTGCTCAAATACATTTTTCATCTTTGCAATAATCCTAACCTTGTCGTATTTCTTTAGGATTTTACGGATGGCAATAGCATTCATTGTTATGTATTGAATCAAGATGTGGCCCTCATGGATTAAAGCTTGTTTTTCGTCCGCAAAGCATCTGCGCAGACGCATCATGCACCTTTGCATCCCAGTGGCTACATGAAGATGGAGAAGATGCCTGACTCTTGACTTGAAGAATCCTGCTATGTCAGAAGCTTCCTTCATCAGCTCCTCAAAGAACATCTGATCACACACTGCATTGTAAGTTGTAACATCTCACCTTTTACATCAACCATGAACCCAATTAATTAATTAAAAAAAAAACACACTCAAATATGAAATCTTTTCACAACAAGAAATATTTTGAGTATCCATATATATATAACAAATGTAGTACGTCTTTTTGAGAGTGCAACTGGTTCAAACCGTACTTTCTTCTTATAATAAAGTTCTTGAAAATATATGAATTTGGGGACTCTAGTTGCCTTAACAACAATAATAAATGTATTCTATATAGAGGAACATGAAAACCTTGATCCATATTAATATACAATTTATTGAAATTACTTCCAACACAGCCAATTTATAATGAATAGATTGGCATATGTGTTTCATATACTATGTCAAATCCATATCCAGTATAGCGAATATTCTAACAGAATAGAGAGAGTGAAAACGACCCATCATCTCAGATATACCACTACAAGACTGGACCTCTCTAAAGATGTT